TCAACAAGAGTACAGGGATATTGATTATACTAATTTATATCAAACTTTAATTTAGAAGAAAATGGATTTTTCCAGCTTCTAATAAAATTTAAATCTCCTGGCCCATCTTTATTCTTAGCTGTAGAGTCCCTGACTGTCCTTTGAAGCACCTGGAACCCATCGCTCAGGAAACTCTGATGCTGCCATCGTGGCAACCTGCAATGCTGGCAAGTGGCATCTGTTGTTCTCCATCTACTTCTGCCAACATGCTGAGGAAAACAGGCTTTGGAAAAAGGCGATTGGTTTGTATGTATGTAATATCATTCAGAAGTTGGTGAATCTTGGCTCCTCATAAACTTGGAATGAGGCAAGAAGTCATCTAATTTTTCCTTTATGAGTCTTGATGACCCCAGATAACTCCCACAAATCTTTTTGTGTTTTATAAAATGTTATGACTCTTTTAACTGAAAAAAAAAATCAAAATTCTTGGCAATTTTCCCATTTAAACTGAGAACATTTACTTCCTCCACATTTTTTCTTTCACTAGCTGCAATCACTACAAAAAACAAGGGCCCCTCAAGTCTCACCTTGATGTGCAGTGCAGTTGTGACACATTAGGAATCAGACTCCCATCACTCCAGCTTGCTCATGCGCTTGCTACTCCTCCGTGTGCCCTTCCATTCCACAGGCACCTGCCAATTCTTGTACCGTCAGCCCACTCCTTTTTACCTAGCTGAGATTTATGATGGATTATCTATCTCCATGGGAGTGGAACAGGCCCTGTATCATCTGAAAAACTTAGAAATGCCAAATCTTACACCTCATCCCACTTACATTTTAGGAACACTTGACAAAGATTCCTAGGCAATTTGTATGTGCACCAATGACTGCACAAAGCCCTAATCAATTTCCATGAGTTTCTTGACTCTCACAAACCTCTCACTCCATCTTCATCACTCACCATTAGTGGCCTGTGGTCCAATGTCACATTGACATGACTAGTTTATAGTTATTTTAAATTCAGAGGTCTTTGTGAGCAGATGTCATCCCAGTCCTAATTAGGTGCTGCAACTGGCATGTGCTAGCAACAGTCTTCTTTGAAGATCTTCAGGTTCAGTAGCTACCCAGATTATGAACCAGTTACTAAGGGGGCTAAGACATGGGAGGCTCCATGCACTACTTCTAAAATATGTGCATCTGGGCCTGAAGACCTGGCTCTGTAGTTCACAGCACTTGCTGCTCTTCCAGAGCACGTGTTCAGTTTCCAGCACCCATGAGCGGGTGACTCACATCTACCTGTAAGTCCAGCTTCAAGGGATCTGACACCTTTTTCTGGCCTCTTCAGGCACCTGTATACATGTGCCATTCACTTACACAGACATAGACACATAAAAATGTTTAAAATGTGGGTACCTTAACAGAGTATCCCTGAAGGAATTTAAGCTATTTATGTGTATGAATGTTTTGTCTGAATATATGTATCACGTGTACACAGTATCTGCAGAGTCCAGAAGAGGGTGCCAGATCCCCTGAACTGGAATTAGATGGTTGTTAGCTTCCAAATGGGTGCTGGGTACCTAACCCAGATCCTCTGCAAGAGCAATCAGCATTCTTAACTGCTGAGCCATCTCTCCAACCCCTTATTTTCAAAATATATTCTTTTGAGAACTTCATAATGCATACAATGTATTCTGACTACACTCAGTGTATCAGTTACTTTTCTGTTGCTGTAATAAAATACCATGAACAAGACAACTTTTATAGAAGAAAGTTTATTTGGGCTTCCAGGTCCAGAGTGATGAGGCAATCATGGCAAAGAGGCATGGTGGCAGAGGTGGCTGGAAGCTGTGACGCATGTGCAGGAAGCAGAGAGAAGGCAAACTGGAAGTGGGCAAGGCTATGACCTCTCAAAGCCTACCCGAGATGTATGTCCCTCTGCAAAGCTTCACCTCCTAAAGGTTCCATGACTTTCCCCAACTAACCAGGTGCTCAAATACTTGAGCCTTCTGGGGACACGTCTCAAAGCACCACATTCAGCTCCCCACTCCTTCCCGATGTACTCCTGATCTCTAGCTCCTGCCAATTTTGTACTTTGAAAAATAATCCATGGTACCAAATTTGTGCACCTCATGTAGGTATGGAGCATGGCTGACCTATCAGGGACCACATCCCTAAAGAAAACTGACTCTTTTCCCAGAAGCCATCAACAGATCCTTACCTAGAGGTGAGGGCTCATGAGCCCTTCCCTCTCCATGCTGGGATGTAGACTGCTTGATCTTGTGCAGGTCTTGTGTGAACTCTTACATAAATACTAATCCTGGGAATTTTTCATAAGTTGTAACACAACTTTTTCATAAGTTATAACAAGTAATTTAGGAAGTAGCTTTATATTTTCAGATTTCCCTCCATTTTGTGTATCTCTAAGGTTATCCATATGTGAATACTTTAGGTTGGCTCAGTGTCTTCTCCCTGTAAAGGCATTTAACCAGCATTTCCATAAATAGAAACCACAGAGCACAGGAGACTTACATTGAGCTTTATGAAACAGGGCAAAGGGCAATTGGAGTCAACAAGAATATTAGAATGATTTCATTGTAATTGAGGGTTTAGTCACCTGTCTTCTTCAGACTGAGTTGCCAGAGCAAGGCAACTATTTTGTGTGTGTAGAACCTACCTTGCACACACACATACAAGTTCAGTGGATGCTGGTGATAAAGCAGTACTCCAGTATTACGAGTACAAGCATGTCTGCAACACATGATCTGATAGTACTAATACTTCAAATCGTGTCAGGGAGAAAGGTTCATATGAATTGCTGAATGCCAAATCCCGAGAAAACAATCAGTATCAGCCATTGATTCTCACTGTGTGCCCCATCAGTACCTTCCAGGTTATAAATGCTTTCCTTAATATCCAGCTCCATCAGAGAAACCAGGCAATTTTGACAGTATTTTATGAACTGATTTATCAGAGGCCTGCATTTCCCCACATGACTAAGTGCCACATAAAGCCTTTCTCTAACACTTACCTGTAGAGTGAGAGAACATTAGCTACAGATTTAATGTCACCATGGAAGTAATTTGCATGTTGATGGAGAGTTAATGTAGAAATGTAAATTAAAGTGGCTGATTTGAACAGTGGCCCTGCTCAGATCCATTTCTCTATCCTTGTTAGTCCATGTTTTGGCTTTCTGTGTTTGCTGTGTTCTCCCATTACTCTGAAAATTGTAAACTAGGTCCCCCAAAATGTACTAGCACAAGCACTGAGCAGGGAGAATTCTTAGACTTGGCCTATAGTTATTGACTATAGGGTAGATTCATATATGCATGAGATGGATAGTGCACTGCATGGCTTAAAACCTTGAAGACTCCTAATTCTATGAGGATCAGATAGTTTCCTTCTATAAATCCTTATTATTAGAAAGAAGTGGAACTGCCTGGTTTGACCCAACAATGAACAAAATATTATGAACTACCCTAGGGAGTGAGTTTACACAGAAAAAGCCACTCTTTAGCATTATGGAAAAACTTTTCTTTCAAATTTAAACTGAAGCAAGAAACGCACACACTACATAGTTCAAATAAAATTTTATTGAGAATCAATATGTCAAATTCTTTACATAACATATAAATAACTATGTTCTAGCTCTTCCCAAAAAAAGCAATGGAGCCTTGGTGCTCGAGGCGGGACACAGTGCTCTTACTGCCCAGCACTACTGTATTCAGAAAAGTGCTGGCCTGAATCAGAACTCAGGAGAAGCCAGATGAGTTCCAGGAGCCAAAGGGGTATACAAATAATTGTTCTTTCATATTTTCTATTTCAAACCAGCTGGTAGAGACAAGGGTGAGCACTATAAAAGCAAACACAAATTGACCTAAGGACACAGAAGGAAGGATTTTTCTCAACTAGTTACTTAGGGAAATAGGAATTAGGAGAAAAAAAAAATACCTTTTATCTAAAACTCTACCTACCATGGAGGCTTCTGGTGCCAAATAATTGAATCTGACACAAAAGATGAAAAGAGAACCAAATGACTCTAAGGATGAAAGACTGACAGCTTGGATGACATGAACAGCTGATGCCATCTATGGAAATGGTCACGGTAATGTTGGCATTTCCATGATGAAAAGTTAACCTCTGCAATCTTTCATCACTACATGGGCAGAAACATAGGACAGGATAAACAGATACTGCCTGACAGGTTCTGAAGGCCTCACCATCTGGTATGGAGTTAGCAACGTCACTGAATGTTCTGGGAAGCAACCTTAGCCAAGAAGAAAAGCGTCTGAGAGAAAAACGTGTTAGAAACAGAGCTAAGGCAGTGAGTGAGGCTGCCTCCTGACACTCAGAATGCTGTATGCAGTTTCCTTTGGTCACTTCCCTTGTGGGAAGGTACTGGTCTGGGCTTTGCATTCTGCATTCTCTACCCGAGATTAAAATCATAATAAAACTTTCCTAGTTCTTAAGAATAAGTAAACAGCAGCACAAACACCTTTCCAGGTCAATAAGAGCCTCAAGAAGCTTAAAGAAAGTTAGGCAGTTAGGGTAAAAAGGCCCCAAAGAAATGTAGCCAGTTTCTGGGCTAAAAATCAAAATGTCCTTGGGCCTGTTAGCAACGTACTCTGTTCCAAAGGCCAAAAATGTCAAAAGTATTTGGGAGCTTGTATCTAATCCTCAAAAGATTTTAGGGTTACCTCTTGGGGGGTGGATGTTGGAGGGGAGGGAGTGGGCATGAATTTGATCAAAACACCTTATATGCATGTATGAAATTCTCAAAAAGAAAGTTGAGTTAAGCTCAGTGTGGTGGTGCACACCTTTAATCCCAGCACTCAGGAGGCAGAGGCAGGCAGATCTCTGTGAGGCCAGGCTGGGGGCTACAAGGAAGACCCTGTCTCAAAAAGACCAAAAAAACAAAAAACAACAAAAAACTCCAAAAGAACAACAAAAAAAAACAACCCCAAAACCCCCTCCCCAAAAAACCACAAATGAAGTTCAGTTGTTTGTTGGTTTTTGTTCATGAATGACAAGAGTTAAAAGGCAGTTCAGTAACAAGAGTGAACTCCAAACACTCCTGCTGTTTTGAGTTCTTCCTGGAAGTAAATTAATCAGGACACCCACAGAAGCACTGTGATCAAGTCTCCTCTGGCTTGGCAAACGTGTTTTGTACTTTTTCCTTTAGTACCTATGATAGCTCAAAGTATAGGTACGATATCATAAGACATTAAACCAAATGAGCTTTCTTCTTTTAGGGCTGACACTAGCCAAATGCATGCTTTGCTGTGTATGAGCATTACTTACTAGTGTAAATGCTGGCACCATGGATGCACAGCCTTCACCAAGCACAGCCTGTACACAACCAGCCAGCAGCACTTCAGAAGAAGCACAAGTCCCAGGCTTATAGGCATCATGGAGGGAGTGATCGAATCTTAGGAACTGAGCACTGGGCTGTTCTTTAGATCCTACTGCAGGTAGTCTTTAAACAGCCACAAAATTTCCATTTCCATCATATTAGCTGTTCTGGTGCCAGAACGAAAACGACAGAATTGCTCCTCATGGGAACCAGCACACAACCCATGGGGATTTCATTTTCAATAGAAAGAGCATGGTCACGAGAGTCACAAACAGGCACATTTAAAATTCTTGGACTTGTTTTAAAGCTGCAAAATGTTCCCAAATCAGTCAAAAAGTCTAAATAGGCCTGTGACAGGCAGTGATGGGAGGAGGGAGGAGAGCTGCTGAGGAGTCAGAACAGCGCTCAGAATCTGATGCACTGGGGGTCTTCATCTAAACATACACCTGACTCCGTGGTCTCAGAAACTGATGCACCATTGCCGTTCAAATGTGCAAGACTCACCTGTTACAGGTACGAACGTTGGAAAATGCCTCCAACGATCAGAACTCCTGTCAGAAGTCTCTTAGGAGCTACTGGCTATGCAGCCATCCCCTTTCCGCCCTCCTGTAAAGTAGAACTCTATACTACTACTTGAAATATGTCCAAATCAGTTGACAGGAAGGAATTTATCTACTCACAGCTAACATATGCTCAACACTCAAGCAGTAAATGCAACACAAATCAAACTTGAAAAGGTCAGATGAGAGAGGTGGGCTGGCTTTCTCATCACAGCAAATTCACACAGAAAATCGGCTTCTGGGTCTCATCTGAATACTGAAGGACAAAGAGACAGTTCCACAATACAGCGGAGAAAAGAATCAACTGTTACTGGTGAACCGGCTTTCACATCAGAAGGCTCATTATAACCGTAACACTAAAAGGTTTTTAACAACAATGCTGGAGTAAGTGCCTGGGTGGCTCAGTGACAAACGGGAAACTCTCAAGAGTGTGTTTACTGCTGGTTCAGACGGGCACTAGGAATTTCAAAAATGGTATTTAGGTTCCAAGTTTAGTTTGAAACTCTTGTAGTTTTCCTTCTGGAAGAATACAGTTACATTTTTGTCCCCTTTCATAATCAACTACTTCGAGAAAACCAAGTTATAAACTACTCCCTGTTGGAGGAAAATTATTAAACAGAAGGCAATCAATATTCAATAATGGTCATATATATAAAATTATGAATAGGTAGACAGAAATCATATATATTATATATTATGCAATATATAATTCCTGCCTACCTATATATAAAATTTCTGTCTACCTACATTAGGAAAGTGTGTGTGTGTCTTGGGGCTATAACCATGTAGGGTTTCTTGAACACTAGAAAAGTGTTCTACCACTGAGCTATATCCCCAGACCTCTCTTTTATTTTGAAATAGAGTGTAAATTGCACAGGCTGGCCTTGAGCTTGTGATCCTTTTGCCCTATCTTCTCGATAGCTGGGATTAGAGGCACACACCACTAGACTTGGCTTTAGTTTCCTTTAAACATTTTTTTAAAGAAGAGTAACACATCATTATATTCATTAACTTAAGCAAGAATAAGATTTCCTCCAAGCCTGAAAAATACACGTAAATGACCACAAAACACTGTGCTTATCATCTTTCCATTTGCAAGAAACTTTAACGGCTTTCATGCACACTTGCAAATAAGAGTAAATCATAAAAGGAGCTGAACCACAAAGGCAAATTATGGAAATAAAAAACCAACTACATCAAGTATACAGTTTCATTTCATGTTTCCTTGAAAATCAAGGGAAGCACTTAGCCCAGGTTTGAATACACAGAAAAGGATGTGCTGTAAGCTGCAGGGGCATGCTTTCCTTTTAGAGTTCAAATGCAGGGAACCTGGCCTTCGTGGGGACTAACAGGTCAGCCAAGAAATATATTGTTCCAGCCATTCCTAAAGAAACAGAAAGAGGTACAAGTTGTTACACCACGTGGCTCCACTTTTTAGCATTAACATTATGGTAAGAATGGCTAAAGTGCAAGGGGCATGAAGCAGCCTACATGTCACACACTGCATTTAACATTAGCGGCCCCTAGGGAAGGCAGGAAGAGAACAGAGGCATCAAGTTCAAGTCGATGCCCTGTCATGTGGCCATACTCAGCTCCTTCTCCACAGCACTGTGGGCTACTTACCCCTCTGATGCTCCTTCTCTATGCCATGAGGCCAGTGATACCTAGAGATTTCTACTGAAGTGACTCAGCATGGGCCTGGCTCCATAAATGGTGGTGACCATTACAACTACTGGTGTTAAGTAAGCTATGGTAAATATGCATGCTAATTGGTTTTTTTTTTTTTTTTGAGACAGGGTTTTTGTAGCCCAGGCTGTCCTCCAACTACGGAGCTGGGGATGACCTGCCCGACTTCTGTTCCTTGTGCCTCCACTCTTCCCCTGTTTAAGTGCTAGGTTTACAGGTGTGTGTCACCACGCCCAATTCATGTGGTGTTGGGGACTGAACCGAGGGCTTTCATGCATATGAGGCAAGCATCTTACACAACTGAGCTAAATCCTCAGCCTTGCTAACAGATTAAAGATTTATTTTTATTTTATGTGGATGAGTGTTTTTCTGCATGTATGTAAGTATATCGCACATGTGCTTGGTGCCCTTGGAGGCCAGAAGAGGGCTTCAGATCCCTGGAAATGGAATTACAGATGGCTGTAAGCTGCCGAGGGTACTAGGAAACAAACACAGGTCCTCTGTAAGAGCAATCAGTGTTCTTAACTGCTGAACCATCTCTCCAGTCACTAACTGATTTTTAATACTGACCTGACATATCAGGAGTAATATGTATTAAAAAATGACTATAAAAATCAGTCTGCTGATACAACTCAAATTCAAAACATTATTACATTATTACAAGCACAGCAGTAGTTGATGATATTATAAAATAAGTCACATGTGGAAAATACCTTCGAAGAGGGAGAAGGGGGTGTCTGGTGTCCTGCATCCATGCTCTCCATAATCTAAGCACCATTCAGCAAACTGAAAATGAGACCAAGTTTAATACTGTAATTATTTCTTCCAGAGATCCTCGAAGCTGACAGAAATCCTCTCTTAAGTGTTACTCTGAAAAATTCAAAAACTATCAAGTCAGAAAAGAGGGGTCAGTGATGAGAAATGGCTAGTCTGAAGGCAGGTATATGGCTTGGGAGGAATTCAGTGGGTGGCTTAAGCCAAATGTTGACAAGGGTATCAAAGAAGGAAGGAACAAGCTCACCCTGCCTCACTCAACACCCAGTAGAACTGTGCCCATTAAAACAATGCTAATGCAACTGCATTAAGATTGTTCTTAAAGATCATGCTAATGCTTGTTAACTATAAGCTATGGATTAAGAGATGAACTGACTCAGTTCAACAGCCCTTTTGACATCCTGGCAGAGCTGGCTTCCTGCACCACCTGACTCCTACCTTGCAGGCCCTGTACAGATACTTGACGTCCTGAGTGAGATTGTAGAGTGCCAGGAAGGCATAGGCGTTGCCTGCAGTGCCATGGCACAACCCATAGCCCTTCTTCAACAAACCATACTGCCAGATCATGTCGGCACACCGGTAGGCGTCATACAGGTACTGCTCCTCTTTGAATACCTGCAGAGTTGAGGAACATGAATTCCATCATCTGGGACACAAAGGAAAATGCTAGACAGTCCTTCCTGCCAGGAGGACTGGCCTGGCATGAAGACGTAAAGGATGCAGTGTTACACTGCTAATGATAAATTCTAATGTTGACTAGCTCTGTCTTCAAAACAACTGGGCCTGAAATCGTGTGCACAGTCTAAGCCTATGTATGCCAGTGTTATCAACACAGCAGCAGTACTGAACATGAACCTCTCCAGAAAACACATGCTAACTTCTTTAGTAACCACAATATTCTTCACTACTAGGAATTGTCTTTACACACTGGGGAAGGATCCGTGAATTACTGTCATCTATTATTTTCTGTGTATGTGTGTGTGTGTTCCTGTGTGTGAGGGTATGTGTGGAGATCAATGTCAGCTGTCTTCCTCTATTACTTCCTACCTTATTTCTTGAGACAGGGTCTCTCACTGAACTTGGAGCTCATTGCTTGGGCAACAGGAGCTCACAGTGAGGCCCAGGGAGCCTTCTGTCTCCACCTCTCAGTTCTGTGATTTACAAACATAATTCAGTGGAATTAATTATAGTCAGGAAGTTATGTACTCATCAACTCTTATTATTTGGAAGACTTTTTTACCACTGCAAACAAAACACATATTAAGCAATACATCTGTTCTCTACTTCCTAACCTTCAAAGCATCTACTTTCTGTCTCTATGAATTTATCCCAAACAATTCATATGAACTGTCACTTCACATATCTAGAATCATAACACACTGCCCTTTTGTGTCTAGATTACTTCACATAGTATGTTTTCAAAGTTCATGACTATTAAGAGTATATATTAGAATTTCATTTCTTATTTTTATGACTGAATATTCCACGATATGTATATACCATATTTTATTTATCCATTCATTTCCTGATAGATAATATGTAAATGTTTTTCAATTCTTGATTTATAGAGGAACTGTGATGAACAGTGATGTACATTTATCTGTTTAAATTCTTGTCTTGAGCTTTTTTAATTTTTTTTTTTTCATAAGCCTAGACATGGAATTGCTGGGCTACATGTTAATTAAAAGTGTAATTTGTTTGAAGGCCCACCACTCTGCTTTCCCTGGCAGCTGTGGTATTCCACAGTCCTGCTGCAATGCTAAGGGCTCTGCTTTCAACCCAGCTTCCAGGATCCTTATCTTGGCTCTGCTGCTGACATTACACCTTGGGTACTCTCTCAGAGAAGCAGCTTCCTGGGCTGAGAGATGGCGTCTGCTACAGTGGGATGGAAATCATGAGAATGGATGAGAATCCTTTCAGTAGAGCAACCTCAGGCCCAGCTAGTACCACAATCCTTTAAGGATTATATGATTCACATTAATTTATAAAAAAAAATTACGTTTTCTGTTAAATAAGAAACCACACAGTACCTTGTATGCCTGGATAAGCATGTAGATAACGCCAGGGGCACCGTGGCACCAGTGCACAAGCAGGTCTCTGGTGTCATCCAAACACGGAGGGTAATTGCCAGAAGGGAATTTAAGCTGGCAGACAAAGTCTACACTGGGCTTCACCAAACTGTGTAACTTCCCTTGGCTCACTTGAAGGCTGGGCTACAAATGAGAAAAAGAATTATTGGTTCTGCTGAAGAAACAAGACCTTCCTAGCACTCAGAATAAGTTTAAATCCAGAAGGAAAAAAAAAAGCATGACCAAAAGGAATTACAGAGTCATTAAAAAGTTTGTCATCTCATCTAGTATTTTCATCTACTACATTATTTTAATCTGTGATTTCATTTTATGATTTTTAAGCAAACGAATAAACTAAAGTTGGACCATTGGTACCATTAGTTAACTTTTATGGCCTTCTGTATTTATTACTTTTTGATGTTTGTTGTTAACCCTCATATACACAAATACCTTTCTAAATTCAATACTTGAGAACAGGAATGAGGATGTTTTCTAGCTTTCAATACCTATTGTGTGCTCTAAAGACCACAGATGCACCAGACAACCAAGCCCAACTCTCACATTCACAGAGAGGTGGTGAGTGATGGAGTGATGTTTGCAACTGGGAGGGGCACTAAGCTGGGAGACACACCGCGAAGAATCAATTTTTTTTTTGTTATAAATTTTCATTTTCTTAAGTACCAATTGTTCCCCTAGAACCACACCCTCTGAGAGGTTCTCTTCTGACCCTTCTCAAGTCCTGTTTGCTGCAGTGAATTTGACTTGTTCTTAGTCTATCTGACTTTGGTTGATCTCTCCCAATACTAGCAGAACCTAAGAATTGCTGGGCATGGAACAGTCAGCTGTTTGTCAGGCAAGCTACACAAAATCTACTGAGAAGTCTTTTTAGCTTTACTTCCCTATGGAGTCTTCAGCAACACGTGCTCACTTGTTTTCTATTGATTTTGTTTTCATTCCTGGAATTTGTTTCAGTGGGTTATGCTTTATAATAGGGAATGATGATGATGCTCTTAATTCAAAACATTTTCTGGAAGAGAGGAGCAAAGGAGCACTTCATAGAGTAGGGATCAGCAGACTTGAGTCTGTGTGGGTGGCACTAAGTAGGCCCATGTTCCCCTGCAAACTCGAAGCCTTTCATGCTTCCACACTTGGAGATGTACCGTGGCCAACAGCACCTCTGTTTAGGTTAGCGACGGTAAGGAGTGTGACATGGTGGCCGACAGGACAAGACAGCAGCAGGGTCTGTCCCCCTACCCAAGGCAGCACATGTCAGTCATCTTAACAGTCTGCATAAGCGTCCCTTACCTGCATCAGGTAGTAATAGATTCCTGCGAGGCCATGAGCAGCCCCCACGTAATATTCCTGGTACCACTCATACATCAGGGGGGACTTGGCTGTGAAGTTTCTCTTTCTAGCTAGGTTTTCTCCAGAGTTTAGAACTGTTTCACAAATCTACAGGGAAAAACAACCGAAATAACAAAATAATTAGACTAAAAAACTTCCTGGTGGGGGTGAGGACTTCTTGCTCACAGGTACTGAAAAACTGGTATCTATCAGATACCGCCTTCCAGCCAAAGGAGGACACAGTACCCTTCTACTTCAGAGAAGCAAGTATGAATCCTTTCTGCCCAAAACAGTGAGTGTGGGGAAGACCCGCACTCCGTTCATCAGCGCTTACATGAGTTCACCTGTCTGTTAAAGAAAAGCACTAATGCTTCCAGGCATTGAGAGATATAAGCACCTGGGAGAAGGGGTGGGGCCTCCATTCCCTCAGAGGGGACCTCTTAACTCTCAAAGTCTGCAGGATGACCTTCAGACTCCCAGTCGGTTCTGACAGGCATTCCCACAGCTCCAGCGTGAAGCTGTTGGTCATGTGATGGTGCTGACCTCCAGAGGGCGGTCTACACGGGGTGTGCTAACTAGACAGAAAGAGTAGGTGGGTTCTAAAAAGCTCCCCCAAACCAGAAAAAAATTGTTACCTGCTGAATATGGCTTTGTGGAACCTTCTCCTCTCCAAAGTTCTTATTGACGAAAAGAAGAGCATAGACGTAGCCTATGCGGCCATAGAGCATTTCATTTGGTGCATGGGGATCAATCTTATTTAGGTGTATGAGCCTAGGAACAGAAATACATGTCTATGATAAAGGGACAGGGATCAGGCAGTGGTACATAAGCAGTGCATTCAGAAATATATACCCCAACACACATACACACAGACACATCAGAGCTTCAATACTAGACTTCCAAGAATTTCTGCCCAGTGCAGCATTTAGCTTGGTCTGATCAACACTCAAACAGCCACAGGTCTAGATAAAATGACACGCTTGCTGCATCCCACTCATCCCCTTGGACCACAACTGGTGGCACATGACATGGCACAGAGGTACCAACCAGCCTCCCCGCCTTCCTGCTGCCTCAGCCTTCTAGTTCTTACCTGTGAAAACCACATTGGCCACCAATGTGTGTATATGTGTGTGTGTTCCCAGATTAATTTTATGTATGTACAAATATATGTATCTCTAAATATAAGTATATCCAACCATGTTCAGCTTGCTATTCAACAATACCCCATCGCAAGCCGAACATTCATAAGAGCACATACAGAGTAGTCTCACTCTTTGTGTGTTACAGAGCAGATCCTATTAAATGGATGCATTCTAATTTATTAGGTTCTTATTGACAGACTCATTTCAGTTTCTCAGACAAAATTTGTATTAGCTCCAGCCCCAGGTAAGCTGTAGTAAACAGACTTTGCCCTTCCTCTCCCACTAAATATAGCTCTTAAAATCTGGGCAGGGTTCACGAAGCAGCTATTTGAAGACTCTGAAAAGGAAATAGCGGCAGATAGGTGGGGAAAACACCAGAATTCAAAGTACTACCAGACTGAAGGTCTATTTGCCAATCCAGTACCCTTGGCTTGAGCTCAGTAAAGCCAGAAACACACTGTACCAGGGAACTGAGAGTAAGCACAGAAGGAGCCCTGGTTCGGTCTCAAGGACGAACCGGGACAGGAACTCTTTAGTAAAGGAACCTTACAGTGGATGAAGCTGTTCCTCTCTCTTCTGTTCTCTTAGGCCCCAACAGTCTTAAGTGGCAAGCAGAAGCAAAAGCAACAGGAACGCATGGGAGTCAAAACTGAGGGAGAGAACCATCCGCACAGAAGTGCTGTGGTTCCAGAGGGAGAGGTGGCCACTGCTGCTGATCGCCCTCTTTACCACTCTGTGCAAGGCAAACTCAGTGATGACAAGTGCCCACACCACCAGGGCAACCAACCCAGGGCATCAGAAAATAGGGGAAGATCCCAGAGGAAGAGCAGCTTGGCAAAGAAACCAGATGGTAGTTTGAATTCTCAGAATGAATCTTTATGCATTTTGGGGGCATGTGGGGATGGGGTGCATGTGATAGGTAGAAAAAAGTGTCCTTGCTGTTTTAGAATTTTTTAATTACATGGAATTTTGAAAATACAACTAAATTTTCTCTAAATTAGTCTATGAATTCAATGTAATTCCATTTAAGTTACCAAAACATTTTAGTTTTTCTGCCAAGACTTGACAAAATGAAGTCTTGTGTGGTGGTGCATGCCTTTAATCCCAGCACTTGGGAGGTGGAGGCAGAGGCAGAGACAGAGGCAATTGGATTTCTGTGAAAGGCCAGCCTGGACTACAAAGAGTTCCAGGTCAGCTAGGGCTAAAAGGAAACCCTGTCTCAAATTAAAAAAACAAAACCCCAAAAAACTTTGATAAAATGTTATTAGTATAAAGACACCAGGAAATTTCTGGAAAATCAAAAGTTATCTGATAGCATATGGCACTAAGTATACTATTTCATTTCTGGTCTTAAAACTTATCTCTGAAAATGATCATCCAGATTTTAAAACTCTTATTTGTAGTCTGTGTGGAAAATTACTTTTAAATAGCATAGTATGCTGTGGCTTTTTAACTTAATTTTATACTAGAGTAGTTAAAAAGCAGTTGAAGTGTTACAAGTCACCTGGGATGACTGATTGTATTGAAATATTGTAATTGGGAATCAATATTCAAGGGGACTCAGCACTTTTCTCAAAATCTATACCAAGCACTGGCTTGTAAGTACAGAAAGAAATGAAGAAAACGGCTTCCACTGGTGGCCTGAGGGCATGCGTTGGGCGTGTGGGCTATAGCACAGGCTTCTTCAACCTTTACTGCACCTGGTCTACGAGACAATGGGCTTCCTATGAGGTACAAGAACAGGTTCAGGAACTATTTTCTTTTTCCTAATAAATACTTGCACATTTGGTAGAATCAGGCTGTCACCTATGCTTTTATTTTCACCAACTCAGGACTTAGGGTACAGATGAGGTGGTAGAGCAGTTGTAATTTCTGGAGGTCCACAATACACTAAAATGAGAACACAAGAAATCCGGGCACACACAACCCTCTCACCTCCCCTTGCCCACTACTCTTCTTCAGTGAGGAGAGAGAACTACTAAAACAAAGAAGACCTGTTCCCATAACCAGATCTGCATGATTAAGAGAAGATGACATGAAACAAGGGCTGCGAAAGAGGTACAAGGATTCTTTGGGTCTTTTTTGTTTTTAAGACAGGATTTCCCTGTAGCCCCAGCTGACCTAGAACTCACTATGTAGACCAGGCTGGCCTTGAACTCACAGAGATCTGCCTGCCTCTGCCCCCTCCCCCTCCAAGGCTGGGATTAAAGGCATGCGCCACCACACCTGCCCATACAAGGGACTCTAAGGGAGCTTGCTCCACGGGAGGACAGGGTCTGGAGAAAGCATGGCAACGGGAGCTGAGTCACCATGGTGTTATGGGAAAACGAGGAACAGTATGGGAACCATCACGCACAGAGAAAGCACCAGGAGACTCATCTGGAGAAATCAGGGAAGCTCATTTGTACCTGTGGACTTGAGCCGAGTTTCTTCCCCAGTTTCATCCCTTGATGGTTTGGATAGGTCTCCCCATGTTATTCTTTAACTGCTACAAAACTGGTGGGTTTAAGTTACAGCCTGCATGATCACCAGCACAGGGGCCTACACGCTCGAAGACCACCAGAAGGAAACCTCTTCTGCAGGCACGTCTGCAGAGGTGGATATTTGGGGCAGGCATTCTGTTTTTTTTCGGTCTTTTTGAGACAGAGTCTCCCTGTATCCCCAGCTGTCCTGGAACTCACTATGTAGACCAGGCAGGCCTTGAACTCACAGAGATCTGCCACCATGCCCAGCTAGGGCAGGTATTCTTTAACAACAGCTTACTGTAAGCAAGGGCACTGCAAACAGATGTTCCCATAGATAACTGGTCTTCGTTTCTCAGAATAATGTTCATTTTAGCTTTGGTTCCCCTTTCAACACAAATTTTGGTAAGCATTAATAAAACCTTGTTTTAGGTGAGTGCTATGTCCTAACGTCTAAAAATCAATCATAAAACAGTATGAGATACACACAGAAGTGTCAGTAAATGCATGGGCACATTTCTTTTCTCCTTCAATGGTAGACATTTCTATTTTCTTGTAAGACTTTACACTTTTTCAATGCCAACAGACCTCCTGAGTGGGGGAGTAATGGGCCGTGCTATTTTTCACTTCTCATCCTCACCATTATGTCACTACAGCGCTAGAACAGAAGCCAGGATCTTATACAAGATGGGCAAGTGCTGACCCATTGAGCTACATCCACAGCCCCTCATTTTTTTGTACTCAAAGAAAATACAAATGGCTTGTTTGTATTTTTCATGGCCAAAGTCAACCCTGATAATAACAAAGTAAAACAAAAATGGCATGGCACTTTTGGCTACTGGGCTAGGCAATACTAAGAACATTAGTGCTGGCAAGGCTGTGTGGGAAGTAGGTTTCTGGAGGGTAGGTTATTTCTGGAGGGTTTGCCTAAGTTATCTTATGTGCCTTTAGACCCAACAATTCCAAATGCTGGAATCTACACAGGCCTTTGAGTAGCACCGGCACATTTACTCCAAATCACTTTCCAAAGCAAATTTTTGTACCTCGGTTTTCTATTTTGACAAATTATCAAGTCATTACACAACTGAGGGATGTTTAGGGAATAAAAGTGTACAGAAGGCAAGTATGGCGGCAACACCGGCCACCTTGGCACTGGGAGGCAGAGGAGGCAGGAGCTTTAGGAGTTCAAGGTCATCCAGGGTCACCTGAGACTCCACACTAAAAAAAAAGTTTACAGAACCAAAGGTTTTCTTCAGAAGAATGTTTCAGAGCACAAATAGGCTCCTTCAGGGAGGGAGATTCAGGAGTATTAGGACTTCATGACTCCAGACAGAGAAGCTTACCAAGCCCCTAATTTTTAAATGAACTTGAAAACATGTTAAGAACAACTACTTGTTTTCCTTATGACAGAAGTGGCAGCTCAGCAATGCTGGGACTGTAAGAAAACCAATCTGTTTACCACCTACAATCTCAACTGTGGAAGTAAATACATCTATGTGTCTCAGAGTTCAGAAAGGAGCATATGATCAAGTTTGAATACAAATGCATCTGTACAATCAGAATTTAGAAATAAAAATGAACTTTGATTTACTTTTGCAAACAAAATTGAAAAAAAAACTATTCAGAAAGGGAAATTTTGGTGTCATTTTTGAGCACACACTATGCTACGGATGTGGACAGATGACTGTATTTACTCCTACAATATTTCCATCAAAACAGTGTTTGAGCTTCTAGGACAAAAACGCGTTATCGCCTACACTACCACTAGGTGGCAATACAAAATTAATATTCCAGTTATCTTAAACCATACTCATTTGCATTTAGGCTAGTTATAGCAGAGTAGTATACCATTTAAACACTTGAAGACAACTTATGGGTCAGAGGACCATTTCATTACAATAGAGTTTAGTGTAATAAGGGACACATTTCATTTCTTTTCTGGATTTGAATTCAAATCACTAACATTGGTTGGTTCTGATGATTACCAAAGGTAGGACTTGAAACTACATGTTTTATGTGCTACATTCTCAAGATAAAATAATGAGGGCATTTAGCAATCATAATGGTTATTTTATGTCTTTTCAGAAACTCTCAAACCCACAAGCATGTCTTTGCAGCTCCATTTATTTGTTTGGATATGCTGACAGTAATAGAAACCGATCTTTAG